TTTTTTTTTTGTCTTTCATTTTCTGAAGTTTAATTATGATGTGTCCTGGAGTGGATTTTTATGGATTTATCGGGTTTAGGGTTTGCTAGGGTTCTTGAAATATATTTATGATTATGTCTAAACTAGGAAGGTTTTCAGCTAATATTTCTTTGAATACTTTTTCAGTATTGCCCTCTCTTATTGTCTTGTTCCAGGACTCCAATTAAACCAAAATGAGATTTTTTGTTATCATCCTACAGATCCCTGTTCTTCTGTTTTCCAGTTCACTGATTTTTTCCTCTATCCCTTCCAGTTTGGTTCTGAACTTTTTATTTTGGTTATTGTATTTTTATTAAAATTTATTGTATTTTATTAAAAGATTTCCATTTTGTTCTTTATATCTTCTATTTTTTGATTGAGACTTTTTTTTTTCTTAATGTTCCAAGCATGTTTATAATTACTTGAGTCATTCTCATTATGGCTGCTTAAAATCTTTATCAGATAATTTTAACATCTGTCACCTTGGTGTTAGCATCTACTGATTATCTTTTTTCATTCAACTTGAGATCTTTCTGGTTCTTGGTTTGCTGAGTGACTTTTGATTGAAACCTAAACATTTTCATATTATATTTTGAGACTCTGGATATTATTTCAGTCTTACATTTTAGCTGGCTTTCTCTGACAGGGGAAGGGGGTGCCACCTCCTTGCTACCAGTTGGAGGTAGAAGTCCAGGTTCCTTACTTGGTTCCTGTTGATACCTGAAAGTAGTGATTCCTATCACAGTCTATTGATGTCATCATCTTACCTGTTAGGGTGAAGTATAGAAATCTTAATCTGGAGCTTTTTTTCCCCGAAAGTAGGAGTTCCTTGTTACCACTAGGTAGGGGTGGAAGCTCTCGCTCCACATGGTCTCTACTAATCCTACAAGGTGGTGGGACTTGTTCCTGGCTGGCAAGCATAAAGGTCCCAGTTCCCTACTTGACCTTCTCAATACCACCTGAGGAGGAGGGTTGGGGCACCTCATTACAGCCTTACAAGGCTTCCCACTCAAGTCTAGGCTTCCCACTCAGCCTTTGTTGACATAGGTGGGGGTTGGGCCACAGTTCTTTCTGTGAATTTGGCTGGAGTAGAGCAGTTATTATCTAAAAGTTTTCTGTCTTGCTAGGCCACCCCTTTCTTGGTTCTTTGGATAGAGACAGCAGGTGTTTGTTATTTGTTGGAGCATTTTTTTCCCCCTTGTATCTATTGGCACTTCCAGGTTGCCCTTTTCTTCAGCTCAAAGTCTGGGATACATGAGGCAAAAAGAAAACCCAGAGAACTCACCGTCATGTAGTTTGCTGGGTTTCAAGGTTCCTAGCAGATCTGCCTCTCTCCCGCTTCCAGAGCCTTATGTTTGTTTTCTATA